ACTTTTGAGACAAAGGTATGTTCATAACTACGATGGTTTGGTTCTAATCGTAAGTGTATGGACTTTTCGTTACAGAGTTGTTGCTCATTTGTCAATATACCTCCACCTCATGAACGGATCTCTGGGATAATTGGATACATGCAAAATCCGCTTTACTTCATGCCTACTAATGAAAAGATGGTTCGCAAGGAGTTCACATTCTTAGAAGTTGTGCGGAAACAGGTCGGTACGAAGAGCGATAAAAGGACTTAGGAGAGAAAAAACACTAAAAAATCCATAAGCAAAGGATTTCGAAAATGAGTGATCTGAGTAGTTTTAAACTAATAGAAATTACTTGTAACATTTAGGCAAAAATGAAACCTTACTTCCCCAGAAATCCTAGATACTGAGAATTTTTTGAGAATATTACAGGTTTTCAGGCCTTCAATTTTTTAAACAGTATAACTGCCAGAAGAGCTCTTCAGCGAGCTCGACCTTTATGGAAAGCTGGCAATCCGGGCGATGAAGCTTTCGAGATAGAACCTGATGCTTGTGAGTAGTAGGCAACTCTTCTTAGTAGATCGCCGTGAAGAAAAGTGGATACCCTAATGCTTGCACATTTAGTATCTGATGATCTCTACTACATTGGAGTTCATGTGAGAAGAGGAATGGATATTGAAATGAATGAAAGAAATCGTCGACATGGCCATATAGCAGCTCCTGTTGACTATTATAAGCGTGCTATGGATTTAGCCAAAGGCGAGAGAGAAAATGTTAGTAACGAAGTTCCCTATTACATATAGAAATCTCGGGAAGCTCCCCCTAAAAACTCATAAAATCAAAAGATTTCCCTATTTTTATTTTAACTTAAAGCATTCAGTTTGAGCGAAAATGTCATAAATCTCATTTTAAAAGTAAACCAATTGATTAAATCCATCCTTTCAGGTCGTGTTCGTAATCTGTTCCGACAATATCTCTTGGGCAAAAAAGAACCTTCCCAATTCGGAAAAGGGTAATTATCCAACGTTATAATTTTATTGATTAGAGATTTCAAGCAGCCTTGTCTATATTTGTAGAAACTTGCCGTTCTCAAAAAAAAACCGTTTTAGGAACATTTTTCTACTGCCCAGGACAGCATCGTGAAGTGGATATGGCAATACTGACGAATTGTGATGCTCTTATCCTTTCCACAGGGACTTTCTCATGGTGGAGCGGATTTTTGAATCAGAAAGCTTCAAAGGTTATGATGCCCAGTCCTTTTAAACGCCGCTCTTTAATCTCGATCCCATTTCAGTATCACCTTTTTTTTTGTATTTTTAATGAACTATTTTTTCCCAACCACTATGTAAATCTACTTTTCTAAATTCTCTTCGTCGATCAAAAAGATAATCATCTGCCTTAAGTTTTTCATGTTTCCCACTGATTAATAGAAAAATCTTCACTCTCAAATAATCAAATGCCCTTTGGCCATTTTTACATGAAAGAAAGCAGCTAGTAAAAATAGCTGTCCTTGTTTGAAATATTTCATGAAAGTTTTCTCAAATTTTCCTTAATTTTGGAAGCATCTTTTGGAAGAGTCTACAAAATCTTACACAATTATAGATCATCTACTACGATGGATGGCCCCGACCGGGATCTGATCTTGCGAAGATGGTGAACAAGTCCGAGTTCTTCCCCAGTTCATGGACTCCGCTATCTTA